CTCCAAAGCATACTTTCCTGCGAGGAACCAGCAAGGAACAGAAGCAACCAACGGCATGATGCGTCTACTGTGATTAGGACATTTATCGTTTCGAATGTGATCAAAACAACAAGGTGTGATAACTCATTGACCCCATAGGCAAATAGATAAAAAATGTCCTCTAATCTTTTCTTCAATATGAATCCTCTTGATGCTTAATTCATCGATCAGTCCCACAATCCTGGCAAATTAACTTTCGTAAACGCGTCATTCCGAGGAAAAAGGGCGGCTATACACAAGCTACGTCGTCCTTTCAATTTCGACTTGTAAACACATCCACCGCGCACGATCTTGCGAGAAGTCTCGCGAGTTTGTTTCTTGATTTTAAGAGCTAAACCGTGATTGGCTAAAAAGGTTTTACGTCACGGAAATCGCTTTGCCGCTCGGGTTTGCAAACGTTATTTTTCGGAGGAAGAGAAGCGACGACCGGAAATACGTCTGCTGTTCGTAGGCTACCATCAGATTTGATGCGCCCACGCTATTGTCGTTCAGCAGATGCACGCATGCGCCTAAAAAAAAATTGCCCTCCTGTTGCCCAGCGCTAAATTGACACTGTGGGGGTTGGACAAATCTCTTAAATTAAACTGTATGGGGGATGAGTTCCCCATAGAGCATGTGTGGAGCATTCCCCACGTGAATGAATATCTTCGACTCATTTTCTCATATTGAAGTAAATGGCCTCATCATGAAATTAACCCAGGCCTAGTTAATCCATAGACATCGATATCAGAAATCAATTGATGTAATCGATATCAATCGATATAATCGGCAAATTATTACTGATTGATAACAGAAGTTGACAGAAATAAAAGACAGAAAAAAATTGTTATTGATTATTATCAATTAATAACAATCGATAGTGATCAATAGTAATCGATAAAAAGGAATAAAATCTTGAGGGGAATAAAAATAAAAATATATTATACTAACTAAATAGACAAAAAATGGAAAGCGATGAAGACTACGCTTGGAGTGAATTAAGTCTAAAATGTTATGTGTTAAGCTAAAAGCCGGTCTCGTCGGTGTAGTTTGCCAAATAGCATTATGATGTTCAGAATATCTGAACGCTATACCCCTTAAGATTTGGTCTTTGTGTAGCTCTTTAAAATATGCCGATTCCATGCACTGAGTCAGGTCGATCAGTATGCAGAGTTGTTCAAAACACCCTCGGCGTTTCGAGAATTCTTTCACACGCTTTTCCAGTCTATTTTTTTTGTCTCTGACTAAAACGGCATACATCAGCAAATAATTTAATTGTTTCTGTTCGGGAAATTACTGTAATCGCCTACCAAGCGAACAGAGTCTACAATCTCGCGGTGTGAGCTGCTGAGCGAGAAGTACTGGTACGCACTTCACTCACACTTCAAATGTAGTCTTTTTTTCCAAACCTTTTGTTACTTGCGGGCGTTCAGCATTGTTTAGGTCTAAAACGTCATCATTACCCAGCGATTCCTTGCGGTCCCTGTTTAAGCAAATCGAGATTTTTTTCTGGTATACTAACTGCATATTGTAACTGTAATTGCTTTCCTTTATATACGCGCGAACTACCAGGATGCCTCCACGGGATTTCGCCTCGGGGGCGAAATTAAGGAGACTCACCTTATGGCAGTGTAAGAGACGGTTTTTCCCAGAACTTCTCCACTAGAGGGACCAAGATTGCAATAACAAAGACTGAGACGCAAAAGGGTTCTGTTGCCATACAAGCCTCTACAAAGACCATCACAACCAGCATCACCAAACCTGAAAGACCACATTACATTATTTCATCAGACCAGTATAAGAACTAATCTCCCATACAACTAAATTTAAGAGATTATTTTGTTCAACCCCCCAAAGTGCCAATTTAGCTCTGCTTAATTAATTAATTAATTTATTTATTTATAGATTCGTACAATGTACAGGGGAGAGAACAATAGGACACGTAGTCCCCTACTTGGTTCACCCTCCTAATCCAACCCCATAAAATGTAGAAAAATTAACCCCTTACCCCAAAAAACTAGAATTAAATATTAATAACATACTATAGATATCAACCTAAGAAGTAGAAAGAAAACATGGAAAAGGTAATAAATCGTGGACTACAATGATACTAACAAGAGCAAGCTTTTA